GGGATCAACGAACGCTTTTCATTCCACTAATTTATTCATGTGTTTCTCTTTGCCATGTTCCCACCTATAACGCAGCTCCATTTTCTGCCTTTAAAAGCACACACAACCCAAAATTCCTCTATTCGCTCCGACGAAGGGCTAACGCTCGAAACGTCAGCTTTTGTAATCGTTACTGTGGCCAATTCACCATTACAACTTTGTTGATATATCCAAATTAAAACTATTAGAAACAAGCTGGAGCAGATGAGAGATGTTTCTCCTCCTTGGAGATAACAGCGGGTTTCGTGTTTTCATCACAGTTATAAACCGCGACTATGGTCTTGCGTCGGTGGGGAGTAATCCAAGATAATTTGGTTTTTAGAGCGTTTTCGATGGAGTTTCCGTAAAAACCAAAACCATAGTAATTACAACGGCCAAAAGACGACAGGAAAAAAAGACCCAATGAGAACTCAAAGAAAAGCCAAAAAAACTGCACGGATCAATCATAGAACGAACTAAAGCAATTATCATTATCCTTAATCGATTATGGACCAAAATCGTTTACCGGTGTCAGCATTACAAATTGCTTTTGTGAAAAACAATAATTTTTCTCAGCTCTGCGATTCTTGCGATATCGGTTTTCGCGTGCAATTTGACACGGAATTCCCTCGTCTGATAATAAATATTTCCTCATTATTACGTTCGCTTCTTGTACACTGTTACGAGGAAATTTCGAAAATGTTGGTTCGCTATGCTAGAGGTTCGCCGAAACTTGAACGGGGACAGATACCATGTATTAAAAGCCTGGAAAGTTAATCAGTTGGCACCTAGAGTTCATTCGAAAATGAAAGACAAGATGATTCCGCCTATTTTCATTACTAACATGAACCAAGTTTTTAATTTCTACAATCACAAGAATTACTCTCATTGAAATGCCCTTTCACAGTAACTAGTTTATATAAGGCTAATTATGAAACTTGTTCTAGAGCAAGACATTTGCCGCGCACCGTCAGAGATGTCTAAGTTCTTCGCCGGAGGTATTAGAAACTTGCTATCTAAGTTTTACGGTCTACGCAAAGTTGTACGTAGGGTGAAGTAACATGAATTTTTTGCGGGAAAAAGCATTAACATTGTCACACTTGTTACATAAAGAAGGGTGTACCATAGCGAATGTGCGTTTCTCGTGCGGTCGCAAACGAGTTCACACAGCTTGAATGTCCAAGTTTATAAAATTTCTTTAGGTTTCGCAACCGTTAACTTGCATATTAATTGAAAAAAAATTATCGCTCAGAGATGGAAAACTTTCGATCTATCGCTAGGAAGCGAGTTAAAAGATACAGGCGTGAACCGGTTAAGGTTGGTTTAAACCTTTTACATTTGATGGGGAGAATTCGTCAAGGTATCAAAGGTATTACTTTTTCCAGCGCGCTTCCCTCAAACAGATGTTACTAACTCAAATAAGAGAGAACTAATTTTGGGAGAGAGGATCATTGTTTGAATTGAAAATATTATCAAACTCACGGAAAGGACGCCGATGCACCGTCGACAAAATATCTTTCGACATTACATCACACTTCATCTCCGACAAATATATCAGGCTGATGTGTTGAATAAAATTTCCAAAATATTTCAATGCTGACTTTTAAGACTAGGTGTTTTCGTTTATTAATGTCATTTATGTTATTTAACACAAAACTCGATAAAATCTCCCATGCTACCCCAGGAATGATGCAAAATAAACTATATTAGACTCCAAACTTTGCATAGATTTCACGTGACCACAGGATGGTTCACCGTCAGAAGTTCATTGTCGACCATGCCCGGTTCCCAGTAATGACCCCAAAGCATTCACACGAGAGCTTCTGCTTCGTATTCTTTTCTTTACAAAACTTATTATGACCAACCATTTATAAAAAATAGACTAAAAGGCCCGATTGTTGTATATCGATCTAAATAATTCAAACGGCTATCAATGATAAATAAACTTCATTTCATGAAAATCAATTTCTCGAAAGCAAATTGATCCAGTCCTCGTGGAAGTACTGGGAGTCGACAATTTATTGTTTTTTTTTTTTATCCCAGAAAGTTCTACAGTATTCTCAAACGCTTCGCAGAGAAGCATTGCCATGCAGACTTCGATACCTCAATCTCCACTGTGAAGTATCAGATGTTACTTCAACACCTGTCTGAACTCCGAGAAAATTGTAAACACACCTACGCCGACATTTCACACTGCTCACATATACAACATTAAAGGCAACTAAACGGATGCGGGGTAAGCCAGAAAAGGCTTCTGGGAAACTAGACCTTAAATTGCTAAAAAAAAAGATCTGCGGATTTTTTCCTCTAGAGATGAAATAATTGATTTGGTGTTTCCTATTAGAAGGTGACCCCTCTTATGAACTTATTGATATTATTGTTGATTCTGTAGTTTACAAGGACTGCGCTGAAGCGTTCAAGTTTGGCGTCAAGATCAGTGGTGTGAACAAAATCGATCCCGATGGTTTGGGATAAATTGAAGTCTTCTGTGATCATAAAACAGCCGGCGGAGGGTGGACGGTGTTTCAGAAGAGATATAACGCCGCTGTAGATTCATTTCTTCCGCACTTGGGATGACTACA